GTTTGCGGTTTTATCTTAAGTGAAGAACTTCTTTACTGTTTTACTTAGGTTAGTTAGCTGCTCGTGCTTATCACGTGTCTATGTTTGTAATCTGCTTTATTTGAACGGCTTAGATGAATTTGTACGTCTAGGTCATGTCAGAAAAGCCGTTAGGAATGAGTATAAATAGCAGCTTAGGCCCTTGTAATTCAGTGTGCTTCCATATTGTATTGTTAACATTTTCAATCATTTGAAGCTACTCTCTCTTTGTTCATCATTCATCAACTGTGTTCTTCATTGATTGTTTMCTCTGTTTGTTCTTACTGTTTCCGCTGCACTGTTAATGTTTAAAGATCATCCAGAGTATTTGATTAATATCCATAACTGAGTTAATCGATCCTATCAGTTGTGTTGGCCCAATGAGATAAAACCATCTGCCCCATTACACTTCACAATCTGTTGAGAAGAGGACACTAGGCTGGGAACAGGAGCTTCATGATGGTCCATGTGATTGCTTTCCTTTTCCAAGCCATCTTTAAGAGGTGAACCATAATTGACCACGTCACCTACAACCTCGTCCACGGTACCTACCACGTGTCTTGCCACATCACCCTCCACTCCATCTACCACACGCCTGTCACCATTACCGCTCACTCCATCCACGTGTTCCTTTTCCAAAGCCATGATATCGCCTGCATCATTTTCGATAGAACTTTCCTTGTAGGACATACGCCAAAATTTCAATAATCAAACCCATCCACATAAATATTCCTTTCCAAAATAACATTATCTTCTTTCTCAATGAAGTCATCCACGTTGCCATGCTTAGGACTAGTAAAGAAGGTAACCACGTTGTCCTTATTCTCGGTACAAGGAAACTATACAAAATTAGATATTTGATTAGCATCCTTTGCCAGAACAGAACTTTGAATCGTTTGATCTTGTTGTTCTTCGTGTTCATCGTGATCTTCATGCATCTTCAAATCTTCATGAGCAGCAGTAAGCTGCTGCTGTTTTCCATCCATCTAACTAGTCGGCTCTTTTCCAGCAACATGAACAGCAGGACCTAAATCTTCAAGAGTAGCAGTAGTCTGTTGCTGTTCTTCGTTTTCTTCGTTTACATCCATAATTCCAGATATCACAAGACCATCTTGTTGCCATCCTCCATTATGTATCATACCCAGACTTGAACTCCTTCCATGAACTTCTTATATAAGATCAGAACCTGGTGGAAAGCCAAACTTGTAGATTTTACGATGAGGTAGGTACCGATCAGGAGAAAAAGATGAATCTGGAACTTTATATTGAAGCCCTTCTTGAGGATCACCGTCTTTAACATTAGAACCCATAGCATCTTCCTTGTTTTTTCCTTTTTCATTTTCCATCAGAACAGGAGGAAAAGAAAATGGCCCGGCAAGAGATTTTAAACCATTTTCCTCACTGGAATTATTCCTTCCTGCATAGAAACTATTAGCATCTAAAGAAATAGGAGGGAACGAACTACTTACCTTCACTATTTCTTCTTCACTAACATTAGATCGTCGCTTAGTATGGTTTAAACGATTCTTGATAATCACGAACAGTTTCTTTTTGTCCACAATGGCTTTACTATGAACCCAACGATTGACTCGGAACTTATACCCATTCAACATCGTCATTCTTTGGTGATTTGGCACACAAATTTTCTCTTGATTCTTCATGCGATTCTTCTTACATCTTGTTCTTTTAGTCTTCCTATATGAAGATTCCTCCACATGCGGTTGAACATCGGCCATAGGGAACAAGAAAATCAAAAAACTCACAAAACTCTAGAGAGAATTTTAGAGAGAGAAAAACTCTAGAGAGAGAAAAAAATCGACCAAATGAGAGGGTTTGGGGTTTGGGGTTTAGGGTTTGGGGTTTAAGGTTTGGGGTTTAAGGTTTGGGGTTTAGGGTTTGGGTTTTAAGGTTGGGTTTAGGGGTTAGGGGTTTGGTTTTTTTTTTGGGAAAAGGGGACGGAACCCTAGGAAAACTTTTATTGATAAACAAAAGAATACAAAAATAAGAATGGACATACCCACTCATAAAAATATAAAGTATAAAAACAAGACCTAAAAAACAAACGAACAAGTCCAAAATAAAGGACTAAGCCCAAGAAGGAAACCATGCCCAAGCAGAGTATAAGAGCCCATGAGCATATAGAAATCTTCAGTCCATACTCCATAAGCCACAAAACCATGAGGCCCAATCCAACCATCAACCCAAACATTTATCCGGAGAAGCAATTCAATGTTATGAGGCCCAGCCCAAATACGATCCATGAAACACAACACATTCCCCAAAGGCCCAAGAGAGACCTTAGCCCAAAAAAAACAAGCCATTACACACCATACGATCCATCATCAAGTCGAACACCGGAGAAAACATCTATGACCCCAGCCGACGAACCACCACCACTAGTCGGCGAAAACCGCAACCACATTCGGCCATCGGTGAAACCCCAAACACCATCAGCCATCGGCGAGGACGCAACCACAATCGACGACCACAAACAACCACATTCGACGACCCCTACCACCAGTCGGCCATCGATTGGAAGCATCAAAATCCCACAGTCCAAATCTCTACAAATAGAATTAGGGCACAAAACAGTCCAGACCAAAAAACCATTCGCCGGAATCGATGTGGATACAAGATGCAAGCAACAACCGTCAGTGAATTCCATGTGGGATTCAAATGATCAAGCATTGATTTTTAACCAAAAAAGATTGCATCTTGATAGATACAATATGGATACATCAGCTAACATTTTTCTCAATATAAAAATATAGTCCACTTGTGCAGCATAGGTTAGATGGTGGCTGCACAAATGTTTGTGGAAAATTACCAGGCTGCCATAGTAGAACAGCCCAACCCACACATCAAATCTGTCACACACTCAGAACCCACCGAATGCATATCTTCCCAAGCAACGTATGTTGACCTTTGTCAAAGGAACAATTGTATGTGGAACCAATTCCCAAGCTACATATGTCAAAATTTACACAGGCCAACCCTTAGAGACATAACCCCACTCCAGCATCCCTATAAAACCAAATTTTGCATACCAATGGGAGCATAGTGACATTGCCACCCACCAAAAACTAATACAAACACCAAAGCCCTGCATATGCATATCTTCCCAAACTACATTTGTTGACCACATACCCGAAAGCAATTCTATCACTGTTAATTGGACTCCACATAATTGGAGACCAAACTTCATCAATTCTCAGCATGTGACCATTATATATCATCCACAAACCATTAACCACAGTAGAGGCATAAATCCCACATACACCAAGTCAATCCCAATCCACCCCCCTTGATCAACTACAAAACCTTATACCACCAATGACAGGAGTAAAATACCCGAAAGCAATCTTCTATCACTTATTAATAATGCTGAGACAGCTAAAGACAACCCATTATACTACCAAATTCCACCACACACCACAAGCATAATAGCTGGAGAACAGACCAATTATTCACTGTGTAAAAACAGAAATGTAACAGATACCACTTAGAATAAAGACTAGCAAGAAAGAAACCAAATAGAAGTAAGTATAAGGAGAGAAAACGGATGGACCCATGAAAAAGCCTCATTATGATACAAAATTAGGCCAGATCAAAGATCAACAACCGAGGTATCACAAACTAGAACAAGCACACTATATGGTAGGATCTACAATCAACCACCAACTAAGTGCAAAACAAAACCAAGGAAAGAGAAACGCAAAGGTGCAAAAAGAATATGATTAGGAACAAAACAAACCCTAATCACAAAATACAGGCCAGATTGACAACCAAAGCAAAAAGGAAACAAACACTGCCTAAACAAACTAACCAAAAGCATAGCCATCCAAACTTCCAAAACCAACATAATCACTTCAGACCACCTTATCACTCCATAAACATTCTACTTCAAGAAAACAGATAGTGCCTAAAGAAAACCATAGGAAAGGCAAACCAGGGATCTGGCAGATATTGAAACCAGAAAATAGAGTCAACATAGAGGCCATCAATAACCCCTCCATATCAAATGAGGGTATCATAAATGCCAAAATAACATAAATTCCCCCCATAAAATCCTAGGCATTATTACTCCATTGATCAGTCTAACTCAAGTAACCAGATAGTGATCAAAACAAGAAAGAGGACAGGCAAACCAGTAATACCAGAAGATAAGTTCAAACCATAGACCACCAATACTCCACCTTATACCACCTGAAAGCAACATAAACACCCTGTCCAAAAAACAAAACACCCCCCTAAACTCCAAAGCATATGAAATCCCAATAAACCATCCTAACCTCCTAAACCTCCACTCCTCAGAAGAACAAATTGTACCTGCATATGAAAGATGTTAGTAAAAAATATATTTCCCAGTCCCCCCGTCAAAAACCCAATGTAACCCATATTTTTTCGGTCCACCCCTTAAAAACCCACCCCAAGGATCCTCACGAGCAGAGCAGAAATTCTCATAATCTCTCTAAAGACCACCCAGACTATCAACCATATGAGACATCCCTGCCAGACCATCAAGAGCAAATCCATTATTCAATTTTCTGACCATCCTCACAATCCAACTCTTTAAAGCCCCATTTCCTCAGAGCTTGAGCATACATTCTTCCTTTCTTTATGTCAGCACCCAACATCTTTAATCTAACATAGTCTTTAATTAGAGAACAAATACCATCCACCTTCCTTTCTTTAGCTTGAAAAATTCTATAATTCCTCTCTTGCCAAATAAAGTACACCACAGCCCCAAAAAGCCATCTCTTTATCAAATTCCAGCATGACTTTTTACAAGGAATACTACTAATCTTGATAAATCTGGCCCATCCATCATCCTTGTCAACAATATCCACGAAGAAACCATCCAAATTCACCAGAGCAAGAAAAGAATTCCAAATATCCTTAGAGAAATCACAATCCATAAAAACATGATTATGGGACTCCAAGTGCTTTTTGCAGAAAACACATTCACTTGCATCACCAATATTCCAGCTAACTAACTTTTCCCTGGTCCTCAGCCTCTCTTTAATAGCCAGCCATAGGATAAAAGCATGTCTCAGAGTATTTTGATGAAACCACACCCAATCAGCCCAACCAACAACCTTTCTACATTGTTTAATTTCATTCCAGGCCAAATCAGCTCCAAAGTCTTTTAATCTGCCCTGCCTATCCTTCCATTTAACCACATCAGCAACATTAGCTATCAATCTTGGTTTGTAGCTACCCAAAACAACACCATGCCTATCTAACAGTTCCAACGGCCATTTCCAAGAGACCCCATCCCAAAGATCCTTAACCGTACAGTTAACAGATAAGCAGGTTTCATACATTTCCCTTTTAGTAATAAACAATCATAACGGACCTGCTGGATGCCAATATTCAAACCACAAAGAAGTTTTAGCTCCGTCCCCAATGTGATGAATGATATTGTTCCTAAACTTACCCCGAATTCTTAAAATTTTCCTCCAACCCCATGCTGAATTATAAACCTCGTGAACATCCCAGAAATTCCTTCCTTTCATCCTATATGTGTGCACCCATTTAACCCATAAAGATTTCCTTTCATCAATAATACTCCATATATGTTTAGCAAGAAGAGGAACATTCCAGTCTCTAAGAGATCTCATACCCAATCCACCCTGTTTCTTTTCAAAACAAATTTCCTTCCAAGCCACATTAGCTTTGCCTTTTTGCCCATCCCAACTATCCCAAAGAAACTTTTTCATGATGCCTTCAATCTCTTTTAGAACAGAAACATGAATCAAAAAAATAGATGACCAATACACCTGGATAGATGATACAACAGATTTGAACAACTGTAATCTACCAGCAAATGACAGACTTTTATTCTTCCAATCCATCACCCTCGCTTTCATTTTCTCAATCAGATTCTTACAATCTTTATGGAACAATTTGGTAGCTAACAGCGGGACTCCCAAATACTTAACAGGAAGAGTACCTAATTTAAAAGGTAAGATCTCCATAATATCATCTCTGTTTTGATCAATGATATTGCCCAAATAGGAAGTTCTTTTGTTCATATTTGGCCTCAACCCCGAGATATTACTAAATTCATCCAGAGCATCTTTAATTATCTTCAAAGATTTCACATCTCCATGACAAAAAAGCCATCAAGTCATCAGCAAAACACAGATGAGTTAAAGCCAACTTCTTACACCTGTCATGGTAAACAAAACCCACATCCAACCTTATCCTCCTTTTCAACACCAGATTGAACACCTCCATTACTAACGTAAAAAGATAAGGTGAGAGTGGATCACCTTGTGTTAAACCTCTCTTCCCCATGAAATGGCCATGCTGCTCACCATTAACACTAATAGCAAAAGATACATATGTGATGCATTTCATCAGCCAATGCACCATACAAGGATGAAATCCAAACAGCTTCAAACAATCTTCAAGAAATTCCCAATTAACAGTGTCATATGCTTTCTGAATGTCGATCTTGAAAGCACATCTTCTAGCCCCTCTACTTCTATGATATCCCCTCATAAGTTCTTGAGCAAGAAGGATATTATCCCCAATATACCTCTGAGGAATGAAGGCTGGCTGATTTTCATCCACAACCAGACACAAAAAGTCTTTAATCCGATTAGCCAAAATCTTACTGATACACTTATAAAGAACATTGCAACATGCTATAGGCCTAAAGTCAGTAACACATGAAGCAGATTGGGTTTTAGGCACTAAAGCAATAAGTGTAGCATTAACCTTACCCAGCAACTTACCATTTTCAAAGAATTGTTTCACAGCACCACATATGTCATCACCCACAATACCCCAGGCAGCTTTAAAAAATTGTGCACTAAAACCTTCAGGACCAGGAGAGTTTTCATCTTCAATACTGAACATAGCTTTCTTAATTTCTTCATTCCCCACCTCTCTGACCATATAATCAGCATCCGATCTACTGAATTTGTTAACAAACAAACAATCAGGATCACGTATCTTATCAACATTCTCACATTTACCCAAAAAACCTTCAAAGTGCTTTACAAATTGCATTGCCACATCCTTCTCTTCATACCAGTTGCCATCAATATCTTGCACCCTTTCAATTCTGCTTCTATTAATTCTCCTCTTAACCACTTTATGAAAAAAAAACCAAAATTATGCTCACCCTATTTCAGCCAAGTTATCTTTGCTCTTTGCCTCAAATAAACTTCTTCTCTGACCAAAGCATCTTTATAAGCTCTTAAGTAAAAAGCTTCCTCCGCCCTTAGCTCAACATTTTGAGGATCATCAACCATATCCTTCTGAATTCTGTCAAGTTCAGTATGCAAATTAGCAGCTACTTCACAAACTTTACCCTTTGAATCTTTCAATTCTCATAATGAGCCTTTTAAGCCTTTTAGCCTTGACACCACAGAGAACATTTTACAACCAACCACGTGTTTATTCCAACCATAACCCACAACAGGAAGAAAACCATCCAGCAATGCAATGTAATTGTCACACCCCTCTAAAGCGGAATCACGAGATCTAACAGGTAAGCGAGTCACAACAACAGTTAATAAATAACACCTTTCAAATTTTACAATATAAAACGAGTTTAACACCAATAACCAAAATGATAAA